TGATTCAGCACATTAGACACTGATGAAGAAAATGACATCTAATTTTGAAATCCAGCCACCAAATGGAATTATGTGGCTCCCTGGAGAAACACCTCAGCTATAACTGATAGCACGAGAGCCTCGAGGAACCAAATTACATTCCAGCAAAGACACGCATACATAGAAAAAGACGCACAGCCACAGCAAGACAGACAAATCTGCTTCCTCCAGTTGGTCTGAGTCAGGCCTTTAGCATTCCTTTCACGTAGTGTTTTGGCTTCCCATTGTGTACAGTCAGGGTGTCTGTGGAAACAAAGTGCTCAAACGTGAAGATCATTTCTCAATGACAAAGCATCAGAACCAAGTTGAGCAGTTCAATGCTCATTATGATTTTGTGCTGCTGTTGCTCAGTGCCTTCTGAGCAATCTCCATGCCAGATCTCCCATCATTTCAATGACTCCTACTCATTAAGAGGAAAGGGCAGGAACGGTTCCTCTGCCTCGCCCTCCAATCACTACAATACAGTGAGCTGGCTCCAAATATACTTTTTTAAGTTAGTTTTGTCCTTCCTGCTTTTACCCACTATTAATTCCTTTGGACAGGGATCTGTTCTCAACCAACGCGAACCCAGCGCAACTAAAACCCACCCACCATTACGCAACCACACCACAGCAAACCTCCACCCACTCTCTTCTGCACACCGTGGCAAAATCAAACTTTGTTTACACAGTTACCACAGATCCCAGTTTGGGACAGTAATGCAGAAAACAGAAAGATGCACATCTCACAACTAAAGGGTGTCTTACAAGGTCACGTGAAACACAAGCAACATGACTGATTACCTTTGAGTGACACGCACTACAGAAACAGGCACGCCTGTGTTAAAACAAACCATTTGGGCTCCTGCATTGCCATCACTTTTCTTCCTAGCATCAGTATTCTGGCAAGGAGAGCAATTTCTTTATATAAAGTATCTGCACAATGGCATTTTCAGTTGTTTGTTACTGGATTTCTCACCAGTTTATCAGTGCAATTAAAACTGTAAACCACAAAATTGAAAGGCTTCAATATCTTTCACTGACACCCTAGCCCTGTGAGGATGTACACATCACCACATGTACCTGGACACTGGAAACCATGAGACAGAGCTAAAGCTCATAAAAATTGATGACATACATTGCCATGATGTCAACTGGCTCTGGAATGAAACCCTTGTGGTGATGGGTGGATGGGTAAGGCTGAAACGTAGCATTCTGTAAAAATAAAAGCCCAGCTTACAGATATGAATCTCAAACTTGAAAGTAATTAAACTATTAAATAATCCCCCCAAAATGAGGTTGGGTGGGGAGGGCAACGTGCAAAAAAAACCCTAAAACTATTTCTCTCTATTTCATTCATTGAAACAATAAAAAAGCTGGGTGAGACAGAAAAAGTAATCTGAAATTTTACTAAATTCAACCTTTCCCCAGTCTTTGCCCAAACTATATCAGACTTGGATTCCATACTTTTGCTCAAACACTCTTAATCTGAATTTATTTGTCACAAAATTGCTGCTCTTTCACTATGTCAGAACAATGCAGCTGTTACAGCACTGTCATTTTCACTGCACACAGCTGGACTGACGTGCGTTTCATTGTCACAGCCACTCTCAAGTGGGTAAGGCTATATGTAATCATCCAAAGAAACTGAAGCAAATACAGTAGCACAGACCACACTGAAGACTTCTTCAGACAGTGCATGAAGATTAAAACCATCAAGAGAGCAACACTAGCTTTGATCTACCATTAGCGCGGCTACTTAAAGTATCCAATCTAGAAACGTACAGTGACCTTTGTATCACATTGCTTGCCTTCAGAAAGTGGTTGCCTCACGTTTTCAGTATTTCTGAGTGAAAACACACCAAGCTACACAGATATATTGACAGTGCTCTACCCAACCCCTAAACAACTCCTAATTTCACAGCATTGCTTCATGGCTTCTTTCCCGACAGGACCTAGGCTAAGAGCTCCAGTGCGCTGTGCATAAAAACTTCTCAAGAGCCACAGCAACTGCTGTGAGGGAAAGGCTGCAACAACTCTTAAGTTTCTGCTCAGGTTTCATGCCCCCAAATCAGAAGTAGTAAATGAGGGAAGAAACTGATGCCCTGCATCTAGAGAGCACTCTCCTTATCCCAACAATGCACCTGATACACAGGGCGTATTCTTTAACCCCTCACCCTTGGATCCATGCCCACCCTGTAGTGAACAGACACATGGGAAACAGCACTATATAATCAGACCTTTCTTCTGTTGAACCCAAATAAGAACCCAGGAGGACAACAAAAAGTGGAACAGACTGCTCCTTTCTGCCTCACATAAAAAGAACAGCTGAACAGGCTGACTCATCCAACACAGTCACCATGACAAGGAGATGGGCTACCGGCAATAATACTTGTACATCCCTAACACTTGTTGTACAGTACATCCTATATAACAGTACAGCAAGGGAACAGAGGTAAAAATCCCATCAAGGAATGTAAGAGTACCGATTTCCCATTAAGGAGTAAGGGAGTACTGATTTCCCACAAATCAAAACCCACAAAATAAAGAATTGACGTCAGAAACCTTCCACAGTCACAGAAACAGCGAAGTATTCAAAGCAGTACCTTGCTCCAAATAATAGTCATTACCAGTTGCTTTAGAAGATGCACAAAAGCCAGTCATCAGGACAGTTCACTTTCTAAAAATCTGGCCACAAGAAAAGTGTCTTGCTAACTCCTGTCTGCTGGCACTTTCCTTCAGGTCAAAGAACAAGGTTTTGTATTGCCTACAAAGTCATCATGTGTCTCTTATAAGAATTTGACCCAATTCCTCTGGCTGCTGGTTAGCGCTTGGCTTTCTGGCATTTTATGGCTGTAAGTTCCATCCAATAAATGGCACCAAATGCGCCCAAAGTATTTTGTCTTCTCAGCAGAAAACAGATTACTGCAGTTTAACCTGCTCCCAAACCATCAGGTCCCCTTGGATCATCTCACTGTCCTCACTAGCAGCAACTACTCATACCCATGCTACGTGATCTAAGTGACACCTACTGATAACGCTTCATCAGTACCGAATGACGTCCAACAGTCCTACCTTCCTTTGTGTCTAAACCAGTGTAACACCACACCACTCCTCTCACCTACAATAATTTAGTTCTCTTAGTCTTCTTGAGATAAAAATTTTTGTTGAAAGTTTAGAAACTTCTGTAAACACAATATACACCCTTTCTTCTTTAAGGACACTTTGGCTGACATAAAAAAAAATATAGTAGAAAAGAGGTGTCACACCCATCCTCCTGAGACTCTGTGCTAGCTTGCAGACAAACATAAGCAAAAGCAAAGTCTAGAGTCTAACTCCAACCAAGAAGAACCAGTTGTCACCAGCAGAAAATAAAATGTCAAGGGAGGCCAACTTCATGAAGCAATTCCCAGATTCTATTTCTCAACAGTCTAAGCTGCTTCTTTAAAAGTTTCCTCCCTTTCACTGTTATTTTTCATGTTTTGGATTTCTCCTGCAGGCACATATGAAATGAGGTAACTCCTGAAGTATAAAGGAGAAGAGCTGGCTTTCATTTGACTGCCAGTAGGTATGTGACCTTTCTTTCCCTTGGTTGGTTAACTGTAGGCTCCAGAAAACAGACTGGTGCTGGCAATTTCTCAAACACAGCATCTTGCAGATATTTTACCTTAAAAATCTGACACAAACCTACATCACAGCAATTTACTAAATTCATTCTAGGACCAGGTGACCTTCATGGTACCCTGACAAACTCATCTCCTCTCTAGTTAGGTTTGCTGATTTTTCTTACAGGAGCCAGGAGTGAAAGACTGAAATGTACTGACCATTAATAATTATTTTCAGGCTACAGCAGTCAGGCATAAACATGCCTACTTATAAAACAGTTGATTTTCTTCTAGCTTACAAGAACAGCAATAGGAATAAATCCATTATAGACACAGCGCTGTAAATAACTTATGTTTTATAGCTGAATATAAATAGCAGGACAGAAACTCCTGAAAGACAAACAAGTCTGACTATTATTATTAATAATGAATGTTTTGCCTTACATAGAAGTTTTCAATCTGATGGATTTCAGAGTGTTCCATAGTACAAGCACAAGAAAGAATCAGACTATTCTCGAACACAGGAGAGCAGATAGCACTGTGCACACCTCTCAAAGATTTCTTTTGGGTAGAAATAACAGGAAGTTTGACCCTTGCAAAAAAGTCTTTGAAATATTTGCAATAAAACCTATCTCTTGGTTCATACTTGTATGTGCTTCACGTCTCCCTGATAGGAAGGGAGGGAAAGTAAAACTGGGCTAAGCATAGACTGTGAGACAGGGAAGGTGATGAGAACATCAGCAAGAATGATGTCAGAACTGTCTAACAGTGAAAAAAAGGGAGCGAGAGAAAGGCCAGAAATCTGCGCTGAAGTTGAGACTCCCCCATGAATTTTATGTTGGCATATTTACTGGGCCTACGCACAGAGACAGCGGTGGGACAGCCAAACGTGACATCATTCACAAGTGAGCCACACCACCAGGGCAAAGAGGACTGAAGAGGATATATGAAAAGTAGTACTGCGCATGGAGATTTCAGGGATGTATACAGAGCATTCCCCACCCACCAATTGAAAAACTTGTTGGAAACATTCAAACTGCCCAAACATTTTCCTTTTTAATAAGCTTATTCAACAACAACAACAAAAAAGCTAGCACATCCACTACAATTTTTCAACCCACTGCACCTACTACTGTGTTTTTTTTTTTATGAACATCTTTTGACTTGCAAAGTAAAAGTGGCTTTGAAAAAAGAAAAAAGGTTAATGCACATAGTGAATGGATGTGAAAACCTAACACAACTGGTAATTGATCTTGGCTCAGGAAACAGCTTTCTGTTCTTGGCAGTCTTCCCATGGCTGAAGCTCCAACATGCTACAACTGCACGATGGAACAGACACTAGTATCAATGAAAACAAATGACAGTAGCTACTACTTACCATGTACAAATCCTTGTTGATGCCTAGATATTTCCCATTACCACAACCAACATCAGCCACTACTGACCCTTTTGGTAGGGACCTGAGAAACTCTACAATCTGGGGCCATGGGCTATGTCTGGTACTGCTGAAGTGTGTGGCAATCTCTTCGTACACCTTGTGTACATATTCTTGCTCCAGCTTCGATGCCTCTATCTCACTGTGCGGAAATGAAGGTTGTACCTGTCTCTGCTGTCCTTTCTGGCTGTCACAGACAGATGGGTAAACTAGATACAGCAACAGATACACAAACAACAAAATCTTTAAAAGTCATTCCTTGTTGGTTAAACTTATTTAGCAAAATAAAATTAGAAGTGAAATACTAAAATGCAAGAAATCCTTCATTCCTCCTTGACTTTTTAAAAACTGAAATGCAGGTCAAGCTGCAGAAGTGTCTGATGACCTTAAAATAAGGAAGCTGCCCATGTGTATTAGAGGCCATTTGCAGTGATCATTCACCCTGCTATGTTAACAAGGTTTATGCTTTCAAAACTGAGAAAATGTCTCTAATATCAAAGATCATTACATCATTGCAGTTCAGCCTCTGAAATTCTGTTCTGAGGGCACAAATGGACTTCAATTCCATGTAATCATTGAGCCACCAATCTATTATTAGCTGTACTGCCCTAAGGCACTGACACAGCTCTGTCACTGCAGATCTGACTGCTTCTCCTTCTCTAATGGACTTATTTTCACAAAATTACAGTCCAGTTCAAATGAAAAACAACCAAAACTGACAGGAACCTGAAGAACAGTAGCTACTTTTATTCTGTTACATTATTCCAGCACTTGAGGTCCCAATGAAATGCAAGATTCCAGATTGCTTGCCTAGCTCTGGAGCAAGCCAAATGCCTTCCCATACGGGAGAAACTCCAGCAACCACATGGGTGCAACCGACTCAAGCCATACAGTATGCCTAACCCTGAACCATTCAGGAATTAGGATCCCAGGACTTCCAAAACTACCCAAAAGGATAAACCAGTTGGCTCAAAAAAGAAATGCTTACATATTGGTGATAAATCACAATTTTGACTTGAAGATCACCTCAAGTCACTTACTGCAATTGCAAGGGCTTCTCCTCACTTTCCTGAATGTAAATGATGTCCTTGTTTCCCTTCGATGTAGTGTTAAATCTCCAGCACCAGCAGTGATTGTTCCAACTCTTTGCCCAAGCTCAGACGCTTGAATGACATCATATTTCCGGGGTGTAATCCTAAAACAAAGTAACATAAAATAAAAAAATAATTCAATTCACATCAGGAAAAAAAATATCAACTCTCCTTTGTAAAAAGGCAATTCTTAAACACTGTGACAAGTGTGATGACAACATGCTATTTAATGTACTGCTGCTTCTCAGTTTTCAACTTATTCAATTTCAGAGAAAAGAAAAAAAGGAGCTGACATAAATTAGTGACGTTAATTAGAGTGTTATTTAATTGCAAGCAACTACATTTCCCTTCCCTCCCTTCCTTTCCTTCCATAAAGTTTGGTTGTTTATTTTTCTGGGATTTATATTTTTTATAAATTCACTTTACTTAAAAAAATATATTTGTTAATATACACTACTAAAAACGGTGGCTATGGGTACAAAAGCATAGAACTGGCTGAGCTCTACACCAGTAGATTGAAGTTTCTTGTTATAAAGGGGCCTCTCCAATGAGCTCTGCTTTGCAACAGAATTGCTTTTCTATTCCTTGACAACAGAAGATGCAAAGAATGTAGCACTTGGGAGATTTGCTAAAATGCCTGAAGGGAGAAACTGCTGTAGATATCTCTTGACCAAAATCTGTCTATCAATCAAGCAAACTGGGAGCAGTAGCTTCTTAAGCTACTTCAGGATTTGGCATGGATCTTAATGGAACACAAAAACATTTTTGCAAGGACAAAATTCATAAAATGAAAGTGACTTGGAACTTGCTTGGGATGACAAAAGTTTCAAATAATTTTATGAAGAGTTTACATTCCAAAGAAGTACCAAACCCAAGAATTTATAATAGCTCTACAAACAGATCTCCCTCTCATTTTGTTCCTCCTAGCTTTGAAAGTAAAATGCAAAACACAACATGAGGGAAGAGAAACAGCTGCACCCACATGTAGCTTCCCATCACTTGCACATGGGAAAAAGTAGGTACTCTTGGAACAAAATGGAAACTCTTCAGGGAAATAGCTTAGCACTTCAAAGCTGTTACTGTCACACTGAAATGCTTCCTGAACTTAGTCATCAAGGAGATTAAAGCAGAGATTTCCTCATGAAAAAAAAAAATCTCTCAGGAATGGGCCTTTCAGTGAAGCCCCTTCAGAGGTGCTGACTTCAAAGCACTTGACTCCCAGCAAGGCAAACTCTCGTTATAAAACCGACTTCCATATTGGTTAGCAGAGTTTAACCCTCATAGGTTGAGCCAAAAGGGGGAAAAAAAGTGTCTTACATGTTTTAATACAGCAGAGATTTATTGCTTAATGTTTTAATAAATTCAGTCTCATCTCAGATTTCTACTGGAACTTTTTTGCAGGTCATATGAAACTGTTGACCAGCAGCTGTACTTAACCAAGAAGAATGATTCGAACGCCAAGCAGGCAGCCTGCAGCCTGACCAGCATTCCTGTACTTTACTGTATGCCATTGTTCCTACCCCAGGGAAGCTGATCTCTAATCCAGTCACAGGGAAGAAGAGTGCCAGTCCTCTCTGTCTGGAAATCAGGAAGCAGTGCATTGATTCTCCATCTAGACGATGCAAAAACAAGACATGGAGCAGCCCCAAGAATGGAAATCTCCCAAAGGCAGCCACGGAAAGCATGGGATCTAATAAAGAACTGCCTTGTTCATGGCAGATAAAGCTATGATGAAATAATCAGCTGAGGATGACCAAGACTACCTGGACAGGAGAACTTCAAATCCCAAGTCTGCAGATTTTCTGACTGATTTTCTTTTGTACCTGCAGCAATAAGCTAAGCATAGCAGCTAATATTTTCAGAAATAAGTCACCTTTTTCAAGGTTCTAGTTTCAACCTACATAATTCCCTTCTGCCTACACTACAAGCAAGAACTCTAGTTAAAGGCTGGGCTAAAAACAGGATTCCCATTTACTGTCAAAAATAAAATGCTGCACATCCTCTTGCTTGGCACAAAGTTGTTTTACTATTCCAGTGTCAGGGATGGTATTTTGCCAGGTTACCCAAACAAAAACAAACCTCACTGGGGGGGTGGGGGAATCACAGACGAACCTCATCAGAAAAGCCATAATTTTACTTTCACCTATGAGACAAAACAAGCACGTATCTTTCGTTCTCCTTGATGACACTATATAGCTTACTTCTTAACCATATGTTTCTCTTTCAGAGAGAAAAGAATAAAAAAAATTTTCCTGCGTATTTTGTTGACAGGGTCAAAGTGAAGTCTCTAATTCCCCTAGCATCCAAATATACATATTGAAAACATTTCCAGAATAATTCAAAAACTGACCCTTTTGCTCTCTAATTTGACTTCTGAGGAGTAGATAAAAGGCATCACAAATGATCTTAAATACATCTTGACATGTATGCAAGTGAATTTACTACACTTGCTAGACAGATGATTAATCTTGTTGATTACAACAGTATGCTCCACTAGCATGATGAAAGCTTACTCCAGTTGAGTATCTTGACCCACTACTGCTTTTAAAAATACACAGAAAAACTATTTTTCGGAAAGGTGGACAAGCACTGGGACAGAAATAATATGCATGAGTAGAAAGATCTGGGATCTTCATCTCAAGTGTAGTTTATGTCATTGGTTCTCAAAAGACAACCATCACTAAGGTACAAGTGAGTTAAGTAATAACCTCATTCCAGTTCTTAGTAGGCAGGTACACCACCCCAACTTGAATGCCTGCTGGCAAGTACTGCAAGTACCCCGCATGCATTCTTCCCCCTCCTGGGAGTTTGGCTGTCCAGGACCAGCTTGGAAAGAGCAGAGCTGGTGGCCTTGGAGAAAGCTGTCAAAGACAGCCAGAGGCCTCAGCAAGGGCCACCCCTCCCTCCCCTGGGAGCTGCTGTTAAACAGAGGCTGTCCCACCGGGCCTTGCCCTAGATGCGTACCCGCTGTGTATGGGCAAGGCCACCGCCGTGCTGATCCGGGCCTTGACCCCCAGGGTGACGTCACAGCCTGGCCCCAGCCCACTCCCATGGAGCTGCCTGATACCCAGGGTCGGGGGCTGGCCCCCAGCTCCCCTGGGCCTCTTGTCGTCTCCAGGCCAGTAACGTCACTGACATGGGAACTGCACTACGTTCTTAAGAGTTGCAGATAACCTTTCCAAAAGACAGAGTATGATGCTGGTATGAGTGTTCAGTCTCATATGCCAAAAACCGAAGGACCTCACTGCCCTGGGCTTCTACAATGTTGCACGTCAGAAGTACCAGCTGCTTTGTACAACTATGTAATTTAATGAGGTGGTATACAGGTGGTACAAGTGCTCTATAAAAATGAATAAAGGCAAAGGTCATTGGGGAGTTCATATTCACCCTTCTTCATAATACAAATTAACCAGTAAAACTCAAAGGCAGAAAATCTTCTGCCAATAAAAGGATCTGCTGTTTAATTTACACAGAATGTAATTAGTCTCTTCAATTAACTGTGGTAACCAGTGATGCCTTGGGTCAAACAAAGGAAGAAACATTTACCATGGGCATTTCTGTCCAACATGAGGGTTTCCAGTCTCCTGAAGTGCACTACTGTCACTCTCAGGGCTCACCAAGGTTTTAGCCTTTTTGTCCTTTTCAGCGCTCCTATTGTAAATATCTCCCAGTGGTGCACAACTTAAAATGCATGTATTTAAACTCTATAATAATAAGCAAAGCCTCAAGACATATTTCGAGAAATCTCTTTTCCAGGATCCTAAACCTGCTCAGTACAATGCAGCCTTATCAGCAATTAAAACGTCCCTAAAGCAGATGGGAAGAGCTCAAGAAGACTCCCCTTTGCCACCCTTATACCCTCCATGCAGGGGAAGTCACTCTTTTAAATCAGTCCTCCTCTAAAGACTTTTGCATATGTGATCAAATGGGAAAAGCTGTGGGCTGAAAAGAGAGAAAGGAAATGGTGACGCTAATTGCACTGCAATCAATTCTTTGCCAGCTCAGAGTCATTGAGGACTTTCACACCACAGATGTGAGAGCGATGAGTGAAACTTCACTTGTGACAGTAGCAGGACACTGCAGCTCAGGGACTGGCAATTAGCTTCCTAAAATCCCCAATTTTTTCAGTTTAACCTGAGCAGCATCTGAGCAGAGGGGTGAATTTGTATAGTAATTATAAAACTTGACTTCACTTCTTTCAGAGCAATTTTAAATACAGAATGCCATTCACAAAGCAAACAAACAACATATATTATTTTTCTATTATCCGCAGTGCAGGGACTCTTACACATACCCATGTGTCCACAGGTATCTGGATTCTCCAGCCATCACCAATAAACTGCACCGGGGCAGCATAATTGCCACTGTGTGGCCATCAGGGTGTTTGAAATCCATCACAATCTAAAAAGAAACAAAACCAGCCACCATGAATGAGTATGACTTAGAGAGCTTCATATACATGCCAGACATTCTCAAGTCCTAGCTTTGGTTTGCCTCTTCAATGTGTTCATCAGAATATTGCCACAAAACAGCTCCTTATTTCCTAGGGCCGCACAAGCCTCTAGGTCTCCATCCTTAAGATCTCTCCCTTTCAGCACTGTGTTCAATAATCTGAGGCAGTCACAAATACCTGTGTATACATAGATAATTAAAATACTGAAAATAGGCATATATATATATATGTCTTTTCACAGTAACAGCTTTCTTTGTGAGAACACAGTAGCACCGTCTAATCTCTGTGTGTACCTGTGAGGTAGGAAAGGATCACTACCCCTTAACTAAAGGCAACTACCTAAGAGGAGGAGAGGGCTCCTTTGCTGCAACTCAGGCATCTGAAAGCTAGGTAGCTGGGCTAAGACAGTCAGCTACTGTCTTTTTGTGAAGACTATGCAGAGAGAGACAAGTATCTCCACAGAGTGATTCATCCTGGTCTAAGATGTAGAGTTAAGTGACATGGAACGACCCTGTGCCTTCTGGAAATGCCTATCCATTCACAGCAGACTGGGCTGAGACAATTACCTCAAGAGTAGACACATAACATTTAGATAAGCAGTATTAGGTGAGAGAAATAATCTCCAACCTGCCCACATTCTTGCAGCACAACAGGCACATGCAGTCTCCCAAGATCCTGACAAACATGCCAACTACCAGACCATCCTCTTGTTTGCCACCTGGCTTCGAGCCATAGCAATATATCGAGGTAACGCTTTCAGCTTTATTCCAATTTCACAGCGCAGATGGCAGTGCTACATTTTGCTTCTGCTTAAGCTAGGAATATTATCCTTTTACATTTCCCAAATGAGAGAAATTTGCTGTGGAAAATAAGCAGCAGGTCATTTAAGCAAGCCAAACAAGTTACAGAAGACTTACCAAAAAATAAAAGTGGTCAAAAACTATCCAAGTCAGCAGTTCCAGCTACACTGAGGAATTAGCGCCATGAAAGCACTGCCACCTGATCTGTAACCTACGAAGTATGCAATTTAAAAGCAGGCTTACTACAGTATGCCAGATCAAAACAAATTAAGTAGTTCTGCTTCTGCATACAGAAAAGAGAAAACAGTGGTGCAATGATCAGTCATTCAGCACAAAAAACCAGAAAGGCAGAGACCAAATAAGCAAGACGTAAGCACTACAAATTACCACTTACAGCATTTATTATTTAATGTTGTGCACACTGGAGCAAACTACAACGGCATTTACGTTTTTAGGAAAAAAATTATTTACGCTGTAGTACCACTCACAGAGTGACATGGCTTCTCCTGTTGAGCTATCTAAATTTAAGGCAAGAAATAACGAGGGTGACAAACAGTGGGGCTGAAAGGGGAAGAGAGATATGGGGGAACAGAAATAAAGCCTACCTATAAGCTCTCATTTATGATTATGAAATGCCTCAACAGCTACACAAACAGATAAATGGCAGCCACTTGCTAACATACTCCTCTCCTTGCACTTAGCAATTTCTTCTAGGTATCCTCAAAAAAGCATGGGGTGAAGAAGGAGAAAACAGTGGCTTCACAGATCTTATGGTGAGGCTGTCCCACAAAGCGCAACTAGGTGCAAGCCTCTAAAAACATGTAGCTGTCTGGCAAGGCAAAGAAACCATAGGATGACCAACTAGGACCAGCAAAGTAAGGAAAGGAAAAGCACAAAGAAAAGAAGTGGGGAGTGAACTAGTTGGATGAAATGGATGAGATGATATCTCTGTCTTCTGTCTCTCTTGCTCACTGCTGTTGGGCGCCAGGTGTGAGCAGACAAGATAGAGCCTGGGTTCTTCAGAAGTATGGCAGAATAAACTGAACATGACACTGTCCAGATCGCTTCCTGGAGGCTCAGTTATCCCACTGTCCCTCCTTCTGGGTCAGCAGAAGCTATAAAGCTCTGTTCTTGCAGATGATGTTCAAGAACTGCACTTTCTCCAAGAGTCAGTGAGGAGACCTCTATGGGGTCCCCTACACTTCCAGTTACCATCTCCCTCCAGGGCCTGGAAGAGGACCTCATTCCCTTTCACTTCTCTACACCAGGCTAGGGACTCTGTACAAAGCAGTGGGAAACAGCTCCTCCAGCTCTCTGCCTTCTCCACTGCTTTACATCACACATCTCCAACTCCTTTTCCCCCCACCAACTGCATGGCCCCGGAGTCTCTTCACAGATGATGCTCCTCAAACCCTGTCCTGTTAACAACTGTGCATCCAAGGCAGCAGAGGTTCAGAGTGCTCTAACAGACAGCACATTGGGAATGAGGGGCCACAAAACTATCCCTGGCGGCTGGATTTTCAGGCAGAAGTGGCAGGAAAATAGACAGTAAAAGGGGAGAGCATGTCCTCCTGGCTAAATTTCAGCTATGCTAAGCCAACAAGAAATATGCGAAATAAAATTTCTGATAGTGCAGAATTTGAGGCTGAAAAGCAGGAGATTATCTATGTAACATGTGGCAACCCCAGTCTTCACCAGTACAAGATCCAGCTCTGTCCCTGCTCACTACTCTTCTGTGCAGCAAGAGCTTCTGTACTATCATCTCGCACTGTGTGGCTGCTCCCCTTCTAAACAAATTTCATCCTTATGATAAGCCCTGATGATCTGGAGAGGAAAATATAAATAAAGTATTAATTTACTTGCAAATGGGCAATGACATTAAGTAATTAGCAGTAATTAGAAAGTCAAAAAATCCAAACCCAAAACTGACTTTTGCTTATGAAGCAGAGATCCTCCGCTAGAATATTTTAAGATTTTGCACTTTTTCTATTAATATCAGATTTGGCATTGCAATTCAGAGAGAGAATCAACTTTAAGGAACCCACTGTGAACATCTGAAGAAAATTAGTGCAATTCCTATGTTTCATTCCTTTATCTAGAATAATTGCACTTGAATGCCTAAAAAAACCCCAAGCAACAGTATTTCTTCTATTCTTTGTCTACAGTACAGTAAAGGATATTTAACCCAGAACAGTTTTTGAAGAACTCTGTTCCTGTCTCTGAAAAGCCTATTACTGACTGAAGTAGGTAACGTTCCCATACTCCTCTGTATCTTTATCCTGGCAGAACATTCTAAATTGTCACTGTCACACACACACACAAAACTAACACATTTGGTCCTCTTTTTAATTTACTAAGGACTCACAATCAATAAAGCAACTCTGCCACTGCTGAATCAATCTGCTTCATGACAGCTTTGCTCCACAGGAGCTATTTCCAATTACTATTTTTGTTTTTACCTATTTTCTTTTTTCTCTTAGGTGACAGAGTCAATAAAGATTAAACTTCCAGCTAAACCATGGTGCATCATCCAGAGATTACATTAAAAAATAAAAATAGTGGATGCTTTGATCTTGTACAACTTTTAGCTTCTTTCTTTGTACTACAGAAAAAGGGTGTCTCTATATATAGAGCAAAAAGCTTGAAAGAAACAAACAGCTAATAATACCTACTTGTGGATTTAAATATCTTGTCATGATGCCAGGTTATCTGAGAGAGTGTTCATGACGAGGGAGCACATGAAGCAGTAAACAGCTTTCAAGGATGGCTAAACATCAAAGCAAAGTGACACCCACATCACGAACACTGTTCCTGCAGTATAAAATACAGCAAAACACAAAAACCAGAAACGAATCCAGCTTAAAAGAAAAAGGGAAGAAAGTATGGGGTTTTTTAACTCCTCATGGAATGACAAATCTGCACTGCCTTCCAGTGCAGTAGTATTGCACTTCATGAAAGGGCAGGAGGATGGAGGTGAACGACTGCCTATCAAGTAAGTAATGATCCAAAGACAAAATAGAAATGATTCAACGGGGCTAGAAGGACAATGTTGATAAGGGTTTCATGGCTACATCGTGCAATGACAACACTGTTGTTCTAAGCTTTGTTTCTGATGCAATTCGTATTTCACATTAATAGACTACCTTAGACAAAACATACTCTAAAGCTAAAAAAAGCACAATGTGGAATGCTTCTTAAGTCTCTGACATTATTTACTGAATTTTCAGAGAATAAAGACACATTATTAGCCTACATAGCAGTTTCCCACATGTACAACAAGTGAAAAAGCAAGACAGCTGAACGTCTTAAAGCCCACACACAGAGCTTGAACAACACAGTGAGGCTCTGTGCAGAGACACGAACCTGCTGGCTTACAGAGGACTGAGGCAATCAGTCAATAAAACACAGTGACTTTCACTGAAAAAACAAGCAAAATTCCAAAATTTGGAATTCAGAAAAATGCTGAATTTCAGAGTGAAAGAGAATGGGATTATCTCCTCTGAATAGTCCATGTCATGAGAAATTTATCTTATGGAACATATGCTGATATTTATATCCTATATCAAGGTCTCTAGCCATCCTTCAGAAAATGAGTGCAACGCTGACAATCATGATGAGGAAGTATTTCAGTACTGCCTACCTCAAAAATCTCTCAACACATGCACAGGCCTCCCCCGTATCAGATTTATGCCAAAGCATACCATCTCTTGCTAAGCCTGCTTATTTACTTAGGCACTATGATGATGCTAGTCAGAGGCTTAACACACTTATCTAGGGTGGGGTTTTTTTCTTCAGAAATTGTATTAAATTTTCCATCCATGCAATGCATTACTATATTCCTGAATTTTCTGTGTCTTTTAAGTACCTACACATTTCTTCTTAATTGAAATCTAGGATATGAGCATTTAAAAACTATTTCAATATACGAACAGTACTTCACTCTTTTCTCTCGCAGATCTCACCCTGTTACGATTTTCTTGATAACCCCAAGGAGGACAGTGTATCCACGGAACAGCATACCTGTACCTCTCCTAGCTATTATGCATCATGGAGTTAGAGGCACACGAATTCACTTGTTGTCTGTACTCTGTTTACCAGATTCAGGTAGTGCACAAGAAGAGGAAAACTACTGCAATTTCCAAGCTAAC